AGTACTATGCATACTTGTCGTTTACAGTTTACAGCTCACTCGATGAAACAATGTCGCCATAAACTGCTTAGCGTATACAAATTGTAATGACGTTTGATGAACATTCTAATGTAATCGTCATTCGCCTGACGAGTAATACGCACCCTACTAAAAACCCATCAGTACGTCAAGAATGCTTGGTCCCGCTCAGTCAGTTGGCAACTAATATTCATAGGTATGGAATGTGCTTTTTACTTTCTGAATCCAAGGTACTTGGTGAAACATGACAAGTCTGTGCCTGCACACACTTGGTAGTGAAACAGTTACAAGTATGTCGAGTTTGTGTATTTAGGTGACTGTGTATGGTGATGGCGTGAGAGACGGGATCATGTCATGGAGTTGTATTAAGTCTGAGCTACCTTTGATAACTTTGAAATGTATAGTCCTGACCGTAACGTAGTGTAGGATCCTACAACGCGTTAGTGAGACGGCAGTATTATGGGTCTGTAGTTGTGAAAATCTGACCTTGTGAGGGGATATCAGATAACGCTGTTTGCGATAGTTGTCATTAAAGGATTGCTGACATCCATGACATATTAGCAAAGCGGACGTTCGGCGTGTGTATCGCGCGTGTGGATAATAAAGTCCTGTCGCGATCTTGAAACACACCGACTACACTAGCCTGGACACATGCCTCGAATGTTGTTCTGTGTGAATCCCGCATTGTGGCATTATCTTCCGGAAGTTGCGACTGAATGGAAATATTCGGGGAAGCGGTCAGCGTATGACATAGCACGAAAGATATATACAGTTCTGGAATTTGTCGGTTCTTTACAACCCTGCTAGGAACTTAGATATGGGTGCAACTCAGTGGGCTTAAGAAGTTTATCAGACATGGTGGTCGTGCCTCTCATCCATGCGGAATCTTTTGACTGAAAGAATCCTTTTTGGTTACATGCTTTTAAATCAACTGCTTCTCTGATTATTATTTCCTCCATTTTCACTCTTATACATTGATCTTCGTTTATCATACTTTCTCATCATAGTCATTTTTCGTTCTCTTCACAATCACATTTTTATGGTGGCGCATCCCTTGGGGATGTCAGTCAGTCAGTAACAACGCTGAACCTCTTACGTACATACATAAGTTCACATACCCCAAGGTATGAGATTTTCCGTAGAGACAATAACAATAAACAGTTGAACTTCTTTAACCATTAGGCTGATGGATACAACAAAACTGCTACATCTATAAACATACGGAAAGAGACATACCAGGTAATAAAAAGGTTAAAAATGACAGCTATGAAGCTAACCCGCACTTTTTATGAGAGAATGGCCGACAACCAGTTATAAGGCTTGTCGAGATCTACAGTAAAATTTCTGTCACTTAAAATAAAACTAACTGAAGCTAAAACATCATTAAATAGTTTTAGGCGCAAACATCATTTGGAAGTTAACCCGCTTAACAGGAAACAAACGCGCATCAAAGGCTCCGTTAAAGTGTTACACTAACAAAAACATAAAAACTCAAGGAAGCAGAAAATAAACCGAAGCTTTTAAAAAATATCAGAAAAATCTCAAGGGAACTAACCTCACCAAATTTTCATTTGGATGATCTGTTATTGTTGATTGTGAGTTATTAACAGTCTCCTCTCCCTCATTTAATAGACGTAAAGTATCTAGATACTTTTCTTCTTCTTCAGCTGGCCATTCCAAACACCACACAGTTTTGGCCCCGCGGAGTTGGTGGACTCCATCGGGGGTGCGCAACAACAACTGGCGTTTGAGGCTGGGTGGAGGTCTCACGCATCACACACTCTAGGGTACTCGTTTGTCCTCGCACATGCTGCCCAGCGGTACCTAGGGGGGCGTGTGTTGAATTGAGCACGAGGCTGTGGCAGACGCTGTTGCTTTGAGGGAGTGTGCTAGATCTTACGTCTATTAAATGGGAGGGGACGTTGGTACTACACATCGACTTAACAGATCATCGCAATGTGTGAATTTGTGTGGAGGTGTAGGTGGGATGCCCTTGAAGTTTTCTGATAGAGTTTTAACACCCGAATTAGCAGGTATGTAGGCTCTGGAGCCTCAGGTGCCTCCGGTGGGTCGGCGCTGTCAAGGTTGTCCGCGTTCGGCCGCTAGTTATGTGTCTCAGGTGACGCGGTGGACGGTGGGAGGTAGTGGTGTCTCTGCTCCGCGCGTGATGCGGGCTGTTAGCCGGAGCCTTTGATGCGCGTTTGTTTCCTGTTAAGCGGGTTAACTTCCAAATGATGTTTGCGCCTAAAACTATTTAATGATGTTTTAGCTTCAGTTAGTTTTATTTTAAGTGACAGAAATTTTACTGTAGATCTCGACAAGCCTTATAACTGGTTGTCGGCCATTCTCTCATAAAAAGTGCGGGTTAGCTTCATAGCTGTCATTTTTAACCTTTTTATTACCTGGTATGTCTCTTTCCGTATGTTTATAGATGTAGCAGTTTTGTTGTATCCATCAGCCTAATGGTTAAAGAAGTTCAACTGTTTATTGTTATTGTCTCTACGGAAAATCTCATACCTTGGGGTATGTGAACTTATGTATGTACGTAAGAGGTTCAGCGTTGTTACTGACTGACTGACATCCCCAAGGGATGCGCCACCATAAAAATGTGATTGTGAAGAGAACGAAAAATGACTATGATGAGAAAGTATGATAAACGAAGATCAATGTATAAGAGTGAAAATGGAGGAAATAATAATCAGAGAAGCAGTTGATTTAAAAGCATGTAACCAAAAAGGATTCTTTCAGTCAAAAGATTCCGCATGTATGAAGGCACGACCACCATGTCTGATAAACTTCTTAAGCCACTGAGTTGCACCATATCTAAGTTCCTAGCCAGGGTTGTAAAGAACCGACAAATTCCAGTCCTGTATATATCTTTCGTGCTATGTCATACGCTGACCGCTTCCCCGAATATTTCCATTCAGTCGCAACTTCCGGAGATAATGCACAATGCGGGATTCACCAGAACAACATTCGAGGCATGTGTCCAGGCTAGTGTAGTCGGTGTTTCAAGATCGCGACAGACTTTATTATCCACACCGCGCGAACACACGCCGAACGTCCGCTTTGCTAATATGTCATTGGATGTCAGCAATCCTTTAATGACAACTATCGCAAACAGCGTTATCTGATATCCCCTCACAAGGTCAGATTTCACAACTACAGACCAAAACTGCTCTCACTAACGCGTTGTAGATCCTACCTCTTACGGTCAGACTAACATTTCAAAGGTATCAAAGGTAGCTCAGATTAATACAATCCATGACATGATCCCGTCTCTCACGCCATCACCATACACAGTCACCCAAATACACAAACTCGACTACTTGTAACTGTTCACTACCAAGTGTGTGCAGGCACAGACTTGTCAGTTTCACCAAAGTACCTTGGATTCAGAAAGTAAAAAGCACATTCCATACCTATGAATATTAGTTGCCAACTGACTAAGTGGGACCAAGCATTCTTGACGTACTGATGGGTTTTTAGTAGGGTGCGTATTACTCGTCAGGCGAATGACGATTACATTAGAATGTTCATCAAACGTCATTACAATTTGTATACGCTAAGCAGTTTATGGCGACATTGTTTCATCGAGTGAGCTGTAAACTGTAAACGACAAGTGTGCATAGTACTCACGTGTTAGTGGAGTCGAACATTTTAATTAACCACGTACACATCACAGTCTTTATTATAGATAGGCGTATGGTTATATACTGAAATTCCGTTTCTGAGAACTCGCACTGCATCACAAAGTCAAACTCAGTAATATTCCCGATAATTTCTCCGGAATTACCAGAAGTTCAGGTCATTTGTTTTTAAAATCCTTTGATAAGTTATCAGATTGAGCGATTCATTGCATATCGAATAAATTAGATATTACTAGTAACCTTGTTGCGAATAAGTTCAAGGCAAATCTTACTAGTTTTTAATTTTAGGTAAAGTATTGTCATTCATTTAGTTCTATCTTTCAAATACGGCTTCTAGTTTTGCGATTGCCTAACATTTTTCTTGCCTTTTTTTTTACCCTAATCAACTTTTCTATCCACCATCTTTTTCATATCTATATGTAGTAAAAAGAAATCGGAAGCTTTGGAAAGTAAGTTTCTTCTAACCCTATATTGTTTAATATCTCATAGAATACTCAGTCATTTCATACCATTTTAGCTAACTTTGAAAACTGTTTGAATATAGCTTAATACTGGAGAGTTGGTTCATATTTGCTTATTTTTAAACACATTTGACCTAAATAGTTTCTGGTCTTGTAATATCGCTAAGTTCAATGAAGTAAACGATACAACTAGGTATAGCAACAAAAGGCTTAACGATTCGAACCATTTCCAGTCATCTTCATCTTTGTTCCAACGCTTCCCCAAGTATGAGTAATTTCAAGCCATGAACTAACACTTAATATAACCCAGCCTGTTTGGCTGATCAAGGATAGCTTAGTATCGCGCATACGTCTACTGGGATATTAATTGAGTCATTCACCTTATTATTTGTTGCCTGTTAACGTACAGCACTACGTTTCACACTCCTAAATTAGTAATAAACCAACTTTTCTTTGACTTTGGGACGGCTTTCGATTCTGTTACCCGTGAGCTTCTGTAACAGTGTCTGGCATTGGAAGGCGTAGGGGATAGTGCATTCGCCTTGCACAGGCTCTACTTGAACACTTCTGGTCGAGTGAAAACTTATGGCGAATCGATTACTTCGAGTGGTGTTCGTCAGGGATGTCCACTTTGTCATCGACATACTTTTTGGGTTGACTCTTTTGTCGTCTGACTTTACAGTGCACCTTATATCACTACTCACAAATGGTTTTTTCACGCATATGTGTTGTTAACTTAGGACATGCAGACGACATTGCTCTGTTTGTTGAAGACGCTGATAAAATGAAGAGTATTGCGACCATCTCAAGCAAGCACATCAGTTCGCCATGTTTTAATTTATGGTTGTGGAACATGGCCACCAAGAATAGAGGATATTTAAGAGTTACCAGCATTCGACCACAGGTGTCTTCGAAGCACTATTCGTGTATCCTGGAGTATGGAATGAGCAATGCTGGGATTAGGAAGAGGGTTCTAGTTGCGGTTATGAAATCGATAAATGGAGTAGTTGGTCTTCATCAGTTGCGGTGGTTGGAAATTGTATGTTACGTAAGCCCAACCACCAACTACCTTACCAGGCTTTTCCATTACCGTCAATACTGTTACAACCTTTACTTCTATGGGATTTGAACTGACAACTTCGTTTGTCAGTGCTAATGTGGTGTGGTAACTTGGACTGATATACATACGTACCAATTTCTACGTTGTAGCTGACTAACTTCATATTTAGTCGAACACCTCCCACGCCATATATTAGCAAGAGTCGGATGTTTGCTTTGAAATTTCATCATTTACATGAATTGTTAAGAATTTGATGATAAGTAAAAATGTTATCTTATCAAATATATCTGTGTCTGATCAAGATGCACGTACGCAGGTAACATTTTATATTTGAGGAACAACTGATTACTGAATGTGTAATTATGAATACGTTATGTCGGTCTGTTCACAAACTAGGTCATTATTTTGAGCTAGTCAAAAAGTGAACTTGTAAGGAAGTCCGAAAAACTAGTTAATGTCTTGATAGGCTGAACTTAATCTCTTTTCGGATCTAATTTTAGTGTTCTATGAAACAAGATTTAGTAAGTTGGATTTTCGAAGATCGATTTACACTTCAACAGATAATGTGAACTAAAATTTTAGCATTTCCTCTACAATCATCATTTCAAATCCTCAGTTGACTAAATCAAGTAGAATTGTTAATAGCGTTTTAGCATGCATAACTGAACTAGTATCTTAATTTCTCGAAGTATATTCCGAAGTTAGTATTCCTGACGATATTTGAACTTTGTCCTTGATGATTCACTGGTGTCATCCCCTTTTCTACTGGTAGAAATCGGGGAAACTAAGATTATTTAACGATTTTCGCACATTCTTTTAGTCATCTGATCCGTAAGTAAGTCGTATGTCCCGTTCATTATTACTTCCAGTCTCGCTCTCTTGATAAATCTAATTACTTTTATTCATTATTACAACCTTTCCATGTACTGTGATATCACCTTTCATTTGTCTTCCGGTTATTGTGTAGATTTTCCATCGATATCTGTCAAAGTTACTTTGCTTACTTTAAATTGAATACGGTGTCAATAATAATATTAGTTAGTAGATTTTAGTATTGATCTTTGCCCATGTTATCTTCACTGATAATGAAGTGTATTCAAATAAACTATATTTCTCTTTTAGGTTTCATGGGTGCTCATATTTTGGATGATGCAAAACTGGTAACAAAACAAAAAAGAAAATCACGCTTGTTACCAACTCGCATAAGTAAGTTCGTATCAGACGCTTGCGTGCACGATTGAAGTTCATTCATTTATAATTTGTCTAGTTTATTAATTAAATGGTTTTTCACTAAAAAGTAATCCGAATAAAATATATTATCTTCAATCCAAACAGTACATGTAGTAGATCTCTTAAGTCAGTTAAATTTCATTTGTAGATAACATTTATTTGATCTGGTAGATTCCCCACCCCAGTATGCCTTTACCTAGTTGTACTTGGAGGAAAAGTACTAAAATTACTGCAATAGGACTTAAAATTTTTGTTAAATATTATCTGTATAGCTTGACTAATAAATAATAACGAATTTAAACTTTTAAGTATGCCTGAATTTCATATGGTGAATTTTTGTATACAACAAAAAACTTGTATGCTGTATATGCTATATGTGTTTACCTAATAACCGACGTGTTATTTGTCTCCCACAGGCAAGTGTAATGAATGTAAAGAAAATACATCGGGTTGTGAATCCTGCTTAGCTAAGCGTTCTGAGGTCCTTAATAGCAACTACGTTCGTTCGGCGCTCAAAGAATATGATCTTGATATTGGCAACATGCTGGACTGTGATCAGGAACCGGGGCCCGCTGGCGGACCACTTGTTAAGACAGTAACTACTAGGATTTCTAAGCCTGCTTCACCAATTACCGAGGAGAATGGAAGTGACCTAGAATCCTGTAGCAAAAAAACAAACAATTCTGAAAACTCGGTCTATTCATCAGATGAAGTTTACGTCACACCACCACCCTACATTGACCATGAATATTCTCACTGCCAAGCCCAGCTACGCCGACCTGAAGAAAATCAGCTTGTGAATAAATTTAATGACAACTACTGTACGAGTAGACTGATAGAATTAATGGATCTTTATCCACTTCTTAAAGCTTTCGTCGATTCCATACTTTTAGAAACGGATGCTAATTATGAAACGGATGAATTTGATGATGATTTTAGTTCATCAGAAAATGATATGTATAGTGAAGAGGATTTCGAAGGAGAAAATCATAATCTAAAAGACTCAAGTAGTCAGGAACTTTGTGATTGTGAATATACTTTCTGTAAACGGAGCTCTCGCCGCCAGCATACAGGTTCACTGTATTTTGATGCTCATAAGACACGTTCATCTAGAATTTCATCACGTGGCATCAAGCAACGCAAGAGAACCAGATCAGTGAAATTATCTTCACTAAACAGTTGTCCCACTCGAAGATCCAAACGAGTTATAAGGGCTCCCCGCCGTCCCTACGATGACTTTGAAAAGTCTCAATACTATCGTTATGAATTAGATGATGAGGCAAGAATGTTGGTTGATGGGGAGGAAAGGAATTTCGGTTCCAGTGATCGATCTAATGTGATGGAAGGTTACAGTCGCTATTCACTTAACAGTCAGTCAGATGTGGACTCAGAAAACGCTGAGAAATCTATAGATATCGAGAATAGTCGATACAGCAATCACAATTATTGTCGACCATTAAAACGCGCCCATCAACCTATTTCAGGTACACGATCACACTTGGATAATTTTAATCGTAGTTGGTCTCCTGGCACGGATGACGATGATTTTAGTTCCGATCACGAAGAGAGCTATCTCTGTGCTGCTTCTACACTACAAATGAGCAAAAACAGGATGACATTGAGTCCGTCGCATCCATTTGACAAACGATCTCAAACCAAAAATGAGAAATCAAATCTTGGTATCTCTGATAGTTGGAATTCTATGAAGTGGTCAGTTGAGCGAAAAATGGATGAGTCATCGATTAATAGTGTCAAGTTAGAAAAAAGTCAAAGGGAATTAACTGGTGAAATCCAAACCTACGATGAGAAAGTGGACGAGCCTGTGTTAAAACGCAGGTAAGTTTATGTTATGAGTATCGTTAGTGACTTTACTATAATTCGTATTTCATATTCCCAAGCCCTGTTTTTCTAAACTGCTTATTTATCTGTTTCAAGTCATGTTATATAAAATCCCAAATCGCTAGTTTCTAATATAACCAACAAAAATAGCAACTAATAAACGTTTTGTTGTTGAAGTTTTGGTACTTATATTTAATTAAATTGTTTTAGAACGCACGCGAAACTTCCCTTGTTTGATTAGTAAGATATATGACCGTCTGATATCCATTCCGTCTACATTATCGCCAATATCCTCTGGACTAATTTTTTCAACCTTATCCGCTTTTATTGCGCTAGTTTGTATAGGTTCAGTCGTTAGAATTAATTGGCATACTGATAATGATAACTTTTATCTGTACATCATACGCCAGCCTACACCAACGTGAGTACCAGTATAGTACTTCGAAGACTACTAGTTATGACTGATGTAACAGCTTTCGTAAGCGGATTAATATTATGATTATTACCCCATCAACAACTATACAAGTCAGTAAAATTTCATTGAAATCACTAACTGATTTAGCTTAAACCACTGGATGCTCTGAATAGCTGAAGACAATGGAAGATGGTCGCACATCTATTTGAGTTAAACATTAACACTAATAGAAATCGGGTGAGTGGTCTGGAAGTTAAGCGTTCGCGCGCGGGATCAAAGGTTCTCAGTCCGATTCTTATTTGCGAGGTCGTGGATATGCAGCGCTGAAGAGTCCCTTAACGTTAAGCGTCCTCGTTTTGCTGGGTTTTATCTAAGAGTACATTACTGGAAAACTCAGTGTCAGTAACGTTATGTGCTTCCTACTGATTAGTTGGTTAGTAGTAAATAATGTTTTGCGTACTAGACCTTAGTGCCAAAAGTCATAATATGATCAGCAATCTAAGTTCTTTGAAATTAAAATTATGTTTGTATCTTACAATTTTACTTTCTATTTCTTTGTATTAGTAAACAGTCGGCTGTAGATGCGGCGCGATTACTTCTGGGTATCAGTCAAATCCAAAATCTCAGACAAAAATCTGAATGTTTGAAGCTGGACACCAGTGGAGCTAGTTCAACAATAGATTCCAGAGCAACATCTATCTCTAATGCAAATAGTACCAGCTCGGAATCGACCATACTATTAAAAGAAGTATCGGCTACTCTGATTTAAACATGTCTTCGCCTTTTCTTTTTCTGACATTGTACATAAACAAGCGTGTATATTATTCAAGTTAAATAACTCGCTGATTTCAGGGTTACTTATTCTAGTCTGATTCGCTCAACGCGAGTAATTCAACCCATGACCTGATTCGCATTATCCTGCAATATTAGTCTTGCTTCCATTTTCTTATGATTTTTCTGTTGTTATAATAAGTATGTTACTTTGTTTATTTCAAACACTGCGCCTATTGATAGAGTTTTAATTTCTTTTCGAATCTTTCTGCATCAGGTCCGTAGCTTAAATTATCACAATGTTTTCGTCCTATTCTTATTTATCATGCAACATAATTTATGACACCCGCATTTGTAGTTTGTCTGAGTTTTCCAGTCAACATAAATCAGACTTATGTGCAGTATTAAAGATGTATTTCGAGACTTCTCCTAACATTTACGTTTTGTTTGAACGAAAGTTCCTCTTACACCTTTAAATTAGTGCAATTTCTAAATTCAGTTTGGTTATTTTCAAAGTATATAGGGAAAGTTCTTTTTCTAACTATAAGAATCATGATGGACTGACTGTATATCCGACAGTATTGCATGCAGATGATACTTGTGTACCTTTCATAGTTTCAATTTCATTTGACTTACAGTTCTTCCGGTTATTTTTGGAAGTGCATTTTGTTGAAATATTTGTTACTCATCCATTATTACTGGTTTGTAACCTTTTTTCATATTTTAAAGATCCTCCCACTGGATCCTATAGATGTAACTCTTTAGTTAATTACTTTGGTTAATAATTTTGAATCATGTGTCAATAACTTAATGTGCAGTATTATTTGTATAGAATTTAAGAGAAGTTATCTATTTCAGAATCAGTGTTTCGTTTTTTTTAATTGAGAACTATGGGACTCATTCGTTTTTATCGCATTCTAAACCGTTTCAAAATGCTTTGGGCGTTATAGAAGACGACCAAGTTCATCCGGGTGAAAATGCTTTTTTCGTGAACCATGAATGTAGACTACTACCTATTGGGACCTCAGTCACAGTTCGAAACTTATCAAGAGGAAAAATAGATCAATTGTTCCGAAAAAGCTGTGGAAAATCTAGGCAGTTGATTCCCAGCTTTGTAGATATAGATTATCAACACACAACTTGGCATGAGTTTGCAGTTGCCGTCTAGGTTGTAAAACCTTATGTCAGTACTATAAAGAAGAATAATACTGAAAGTACAGGAAACATAAACATAATAACATGGTTAGAAACAAGCAACGATAATGGAAGGGTGGGAATCGATAACTGACTGAAACTTTAGAGGAGGCTGAAGGTGAATGTGCCACAGACTAATTCAGCTTGTATTACCACAAACCTTCAACCGCTTGGGACTTGCTATCAGATCAGGGTTAGGGATTTCATAAACTGATGTCATGTCTTGGTTCGTTCCTAAAATTGTATATAATGCTCTGGAAATCCAAGTTTTGGTAACACTGCTAAATAGTCAATTGCGGAAGTCAAAAGCATAAATACACTAATGAATTATTTAACAATGTATTATGAAAATAGCTTTATTGACAATCAAGAGGCTTAGTTTGCTTCTCTACTCCACAGTTTATAAGTGAGGTCATGGGAACAGGTTGCGATGTATTTATTGTCTGGTGAGATGTCGGCATAAACAACTTTGCTGTTATGTCCCTCGAGCGTTTTGATAGGTGTCCAAATAGGATGACCCCAAATTTTGGTTGTTTTATCAAACGAACTGGTAACTATGTAGTTGCAGTTGCGTGCTGTGAATTGAACAAAAGTAAAGAGTATTATATTTTTACGAATAATAGCATTTACTACATAGAAATCATGACACAAGTTAAAAACGTTCAAGAAACTGAATAGTTTTTAAAATCCTGGGTTAGTAGGTATAGTTTATACTCAAGGACTTGACAATGAATTATATTGGTGTTAATTTATTGTCATGGACAATGTTCTTTTTAACTCCAGCCATGTAACAAAGTACTATTTCATGTATCTAACCTTGAGCAGCACTTGTGTTATGGCTCACGATTCCAGTCAACTGTAACTTAATAGGTTGGAGTTAAATTATCTAACTATCCAGTGCGTACTAAGTGAACTTTTAGTTATTCAAGTAGATCGTCAGTACTGTCGGGCTTATATGCTCGAATATCCACAATGGGAATCTTTAATAGTTTAAATATTCTTCACTCATTGATGGATTTTGGGAGATGGTAGTACTTTCATGGTTGATATCGAAAACTGATTTGATATTTGGACGAAACAGCGGTCAAGTGCCTCCATATTACCAATGGTGATTTAGCTAGGATAAGTTCGTGATTTCGATTGTAAATAAAAAATTTATATCTATAGAATATCTATCTTACAATCACCTGTAAATTGTTATCAAATTAAATAGCAATGGTTAATATCAAGGACGTGAAAATAATAGACTCACACTCGAATCGTACACTGCTTACAACGCTTGTATGAGCTGGTATTACATAAATTGCTTGTTGCTGTCTTAAATCCCAGATACGAACAGTGTTATCTGCACTAGAAGTGGCTGCATGGTAACCGTTATCAGCTATATCTGCTCCCAACAGCTCTTCAAGATGACCCTCTAAAAACATAATACAACGGCCTGTTCGTAAGTCCCAAACACGAGCGTACCCATCTAAACCAGTGGTCAGAGCTAAGGAACCATCAGGATGAAAAACTACATCATAAACTGGTTTGGAATGACCTTCCTGATGTAAGATTTCTTCACAAGCTTCCAGATCCCATAAGCGCCATGAGTGGTCAAAGCACGTGGTTGCTAAGAAACGTCCAGATGGATGGAAAGCTAAGCGGGATACTCTATGAGGTGCATGTCCTTCAATATCAGCCAAAGGTTCTTCATTATCCAAACTCCATAGTTTAACGCTTCCATCCTGAAATACAAACAACGATTATGTAACATTTTGTAAACAAAAAGTCCGAATAAGAAACATTCAAGATTATGACCAGTCCTACCGGTGATCATTTAACTGTACTTTTTGTTCATAACACTATGCACGCGCAAACTTCCATTTGTGTTGCCGCCATCTTTGCTCCACCATCTCTGTAATTTCTACCATCTTTTCTGGCAACACTACTACTGGGGGGCGCAGCTGTTGGCGTCGCGATTATTCGACAGTGTACCTGCAGCCGTGTCCCAGCATCGGGAACCGGTAAACGCTACACGTTGGACAAATGCCGTACCCATTCCAGACCAGCGCGCAAGAACAATGACCGAAGTGGTAATCCGGCATATTGTAGCGTGTCGCGGAATACGGAAGGTGATATTAACTGACCAGGGTCCCTGTTTTGAAAGACAACTACGACAGCTTATTAAAAGGGGGGACGAGTGTGGTGTGAGCTACTTATAAGTAGTATATGACGTGAGTGTCAACGTAAAGTCTGGTAGCATAATATGGGGGGAAGATCAAGAAAGGAAGAGTTAGAAAACAATGGAATTTGTATGAAACGCATGAATAGTGACAATGGATTGATGTTTTACAACAGGAACAGTCCAGTTCGATATGATGAACTGTTATTTTGCAAATGAACGATTTACGATTTGGTTTTCCAATTTTACTGAGTAACTCTGTAATTTTCGTTAAATACAATTCGGTTGTCCCACCTGTTCTCTTTCACTACACTACTGCTAATACATTTACTCCTTTTACTACTATCGGATTTGAATTGACAATTACATCTGTGTGCAAATGTGGTATTGTAACTTGAAATGATGTACGTACGTACATACGAAGTTCTACGTTGCTTTTGATTGATTGAGGGTTTTATAGATTATCAATAGTTAGTTGGCAATCGGCAAAGCTAAACCACATCAATTTTTTTCAGTTAAACATGATATTCTGACATATATATATATATATATATATATATATATATATATATATTTCAGAATTGTTAAACTAATAGACGGAATATACTGTGATCACTTGATCATCATATCCAATGATGTAATTTATGAGACCAAGTGATAATAATTGTTCACGAGATTGGATTATTGACGTAACTTCTCAAATGAACTAACTGATTGATATCACATAAAATAGAATAGACTTTTTCTATTGACAAAATAGCCTACTAATGTTACAACATATTAAACATTAAAAACAATAAATTTGGCTAAAATTCTTTCAACTAATAAACGATTAAAGAAAGAAAATATGCCAATGATTAGTCAGTCAATTCACTTATTAATAAAAATAATTGCGTAAATTGTTGCTTCATTATGATTAGATTTGAAACATCATTTACTAGGATGTCAATCATACAAACAGTGTTGTAAAAATGTGTTACATTTCACTGTTAGTTCAAATCTCTATATCCTATGGACTCAGCAAGATAAATTTGTCTGAATGAGATCTTAAAGTAGTAGCAATATTATTGATAATAGAAAAGATTTAAAAAATTTGGTTTACTGAATTCAGTCAGTCTTCATTTACAACTTGGAACTTCGTACGTACATACATAAGTTCAGGTTGCCGTAACACGATGGCACAGAAATGTAAAAGTCAGTTCGAATCCCATAGTGGTAGAGATAGTAGAAGCGTTAGCGGTAATGGAGAAGAGTAGGGTTTAAAGATAGTATTCAAGAAGTATAATTCAATGAGATAACTTTAGAAAGAGAAAGATAGAGGTGATGAACGATTTTGAGCTATGTCATTCAGGGTCTCTAACCATCGGTTACTATCATTTCGCCGGCCCCAACCAAGTAGTCAACACCTACCAACATAACTCAGTTCACTTGTCAGTGACTTCATGGATTTCTGCCATGTTTTGGTTTGGCCGCCCCTAACTTCCTTCCAACCTACTCCTACACTGCAAAACATAGCTTGTCGCGGTAGTCGGTGGTTAGCAATACGTAACACATGTACCAACAGCCTCAACTAGTGAAGTTTTAATACTTCATCTATTGATTTGCCATCCTTACCTAGCACCCGTTTCTTAACAACAGTATTGCTTACTCGACTGTCCCACAATACTCGAGCAATGATTCGGATACACCTATGATCGAAAACCAGTAACCTACGAATATCTTTCAACTCTGACTGACCCTATTGAACTAGCATGCTTAAACTTTACAGAAATATGCAGTTGATTTTCATAAATTCTGAAAGTAATCAATATGTGTTATCTAGTATTTCTGATCTTTTCGAATCGGCAAAACAAAGCACTACAGACATTTTGTATTCTAAAAAAGATTGAAAAATATCAATTAACTGAGGCAAGAGAATATGACAATGAAATACATAATATTTGAAAGACTACTTTTATTTTTTTTCTTTGTAACATCAAAATTACTTGTATAGCAAGCATTATTATCACAAAGAATGAATAATTCATATATTTTTCACAAGAAATAAAAACAAAAAGACAACAATATCTAAGCTACACCAATAGAAATAACCTACTTGAGCTGAACTAGCAAGTGCTAATTGTTGTTCCGATTGAAGACCAGCTTGAGGATGCCATACAATGGAACAAGTTGGTGCAGTATGTCCACGTAAATTCATCACTAAATTACAATCAGGTATAGACCATAAACGACATAGACCACTCCATGATGATGTAGCCAATTGTTTACCATCCGGTGAAAATCGACACATACTTAATGGTCGAATATCTCCAACTTGACTACATAATAAATTTGTATTCTAAATATATCAAAAATTTCAAAAACAAACAAACAAAGGATTTCAAGTGATTGATGAAAATTCTAAAAACATGAAAAATTTAACTGGATAGTATCTCTTGGCCTTCGTTGACAATGCTACTTACTTACTTACTTACGCCTCTCACCCCCAATGGAGCATAGGCCGCA